TCAAGATCATCTACGACCGCGCTGATCATATGCCAGATATGTTCCAAGAAAGGTCATTCAACCCAAACATGTTGGCACCGGCTGAATATTCAATACCAACCTCAACCAAGAAAGAACAACACCGCACTCACTGCTCATACAGAATCTTCCGACTCGGCGTGGTTCTTGGACTCAGGGGCTTCAATGCATCTCACCAACTCCATCGACAATCTTTCGATATCTCAGCCATATCAAGGCTCGGACGGTGTCATAATAGGCGATGGAAGCACCGTTAGCATCGTAACCACTGGGGCGGGAATTCTCCCGACCCCGTCTCGTAAGCTACACTTATCTCAAATCCTTCACTCTCCATTTATTCACTATAACTTGCTCTCAATTTCGCAGTTAATGAAAGACAACAATATCGCAATTATTTTTAATCCTAACGGCTTTGTCTTGAAGGACCTGAAGACTCACAAAACAATTTTTCAAGGACCATGTAATGGTGGTCAATACACCATGCCTACAGCCGCAACTCCTAAGCATCAGGCGCTGGCCACCTCTAATCTTTCAGACGATTCTTGGCATCGCAGGCTTGGTCATCCAAGCAAAAGAACATTTGATTTGATTTGTTCTTATAATCCTTCTCTTAAACTAGGCAAATACATTTATAGTTGTCTTTCTTTCAATACTGCTAAATGTCATAAACTTGTTTTCGAACGATATAGACATCGTCAAAATACCCCGCTCGCTCTGATTCACTCTGACGTCTGGGGTCCAGCTTCCATGACATCCAATCAGGGATAAGAATTCTATGTAATTTTTGTAGACGATTTTTCTCATTTTACCTGGTTGTATCAATTACGTCGTAAATATGATGTTCTTGAGTCATTTATTACGTTCAAAACTCAAGTAGAAAATTACACGTCGCTTAAAATAAAGATGATACGTACTGACGGTGGCTCATAGTACATTAACCATGCCTTTGCAGTCTTTCTTCGTACACACAGAATACTACATCAAGTCTCGTGCCCTTACACTCCTGAACAAAACGGGCTTGCTGAAAGCAAGTGCAGGCACATCATGGAAACCACACGAACCCTCCTTCACACAGCCACGGTCCCTTACACATACTGGCCCGATGTCGTCCTAACATCCATTTATCTCATCAATAAGCTACCATCCTCTACTCTGAAAAACTGCTCTCCCTTTGAGACATTCTACAACATGAAGCTTGAGTACCGTCATCTAAAAACATTCGGTTGGGAATGTTTTCCTCTCGCACCATCTCACTCACGCCACAAGTTACAGCCCACCGCTCTACCTCACGTTTTTATGGGGTATTCAGACACCTACAAAGGTTACCGATGCCTTAACCTGATCACACACAAAATTACTATGTCAAGAAACGTTGTTTTCAACAAGCAGGTCTTCCCTTTTTCCAAACTTCCGTCACCTCCAGCTCCGAATAAGGCTGAAATGGCTCCTATGCTCTTACTTCATACATCTACACCACTCACAACTAATCAAAACACACTGTCCACTATTCCGACAGATCACAAGGCATCTACTACCTCTCAGCAAACCAGTTTGCAACCATCTCAACACAGTCAACCACACCAAAGCAGCTTGAGCAACATGCTTCAACCTCCGGCTATCAACAACAACACAGATATACATCACATGACCACACGAAGCAGAACAAGTACACTCAAACCTATTAACAGGTTAAATCTTTTCCACAAGCACACCACAGCCAGCAAGCAATAGATCCCACGACCTACATAGAAGCCATCAGGAAATCGGAATGGCGTCAAGCAATGTCCAACGAATTCCTCACACTCCATACTCAAGGGACTTGGAGTCTCGTTCCTCCTCATCCAAATGCGTCCATACTTGGCTGCAAATGGACGTATAAAACCAAACGTCACTCGGATGGCTCCATAGCAAAATACAAAGCCAGACTTGTAGCCCAAGGAAATCATCAGCTGTATGGCCTGGACTACACAGAAATGTTCAGTTTAGTAGCTAAACTACTAACAATTCGGATCCTTCTTGCCATAGCTCTCCACCATGACTGGCCAGTTCAGTAACTCGACGTCGCAAACGCCTTTCTACATGGTCAATTATCCGAGACAGTCTACATGTCACAACCAAGGTGATTCGAAGATATACATCATCCGGAACACGTATGTCACCTTCACACATCCCTCTAAGGCCTGAAACAGACCCCTCGTCAATGGTATACCACGTTTACTCCTTTTCTTATATCCATTGGGTTCTCTCATAACCAATCGGACCCATCACTATTTTTATACAACATAGACAATACTCGCATTTATCTACTGGTATACGTAGATGACATCCTGGTATCCGATAACAATCAGGCTGTCATCAATGATATACTAAACAAGCTCAGTAACAAATTTTCTATGAAGCATTTAGGGAATGCGCATGAATTCCTGGGAATAAAGATTGACCGATCCACAATTCGATTCTTTCTATCCCAGACCACATACGCATCTCAAATATTAGATCAAGCCAGGCTTTCTCAATACAAGCTGCTAGCGAACCCCACGTGCGCCAAGCTTCTGGAATTCCTTCACCTCGACAACGCCTCTCAGGACACCAACATGTATCGAAGAATGACAGGCTTGTTACAATATTTGAACATAACATGATCGGATATCGCCTTCAGCATCAACCAGCTATCCCAACACATGCAGGATCCTCAACCGAAAGACTTCTACATGTCAAACGTCTCCTACGATATATTCAAGGTACACTTGATTTCAGCATTCCAATTATTAAATCTAATCGTCTTCTCACTTCATTCTCAAATGTGAATTGAGCTAGCGATCCAAAGTCTCGTAAATCTACAACTGGTCACTGCTTGTTCCTTGGTGACAACCTAGTCTCATGGACAGTAAAGAAATAAAACACCGTCGCCCGTTCTTCGATTGAATCAGATTACGGAGCTCTCGCGGCACTCACAGCAGACATAATATGGATCCATCATCTTCTTCATGATTTCGGCATCGATCACGATTCTCCCACACAAATCTTTTGTGACAATACATCCGCCATTGCACTCGCAAATAACCCGGTGTTCCACGCTCGTACGAAACATAATAAGATCTATCATAAATTCATAAGAGATCATATTCACAAGAACAATATACGTATCTTGCCAATTAGCACGGTGGATCAAGTAGCGGATAGTCTCACCAAATCCCTCTCGACGCCCATATTTCATACTATGCGTCACAAACTGACGGTCATTCAGGACCCATCAGTTTGCAAGGGGTTATTAGAGGCAGCTGAATTAAACTAATTATATTATATCTTATTATATACATATGACGTGTAAATCTTGTATTGGCTCTATCTTTTTTTTTCTGTACATACTCAGGCCTATTTAATGGCCTGGTACAGTGCTCTGTAACTTAACATAGATAATGAAATGTTTCCTCGTTCTTGTTAATCCTCTCTATCTGTTTCATTCAAGAACCATTGGTTTCTACACTGAGTATGTTCCCGCCATGGATAAATTGATGGATGCCTGAGAGCAGTTGGCCCAAAGTGAGTCAGTTAGAACATCGATTAGGGATGTATCATATGTATATGACAACCCAATCTTCGATCTTCAATTCTATTGATGATGTGGGATTGCATGTGTTTATGGAAGGTAATGAGCAAATTGTAGCACACAAAAGATGTGTAAACTTCATGGATACAACCATAAATGGAAACTTTGAACCAACTAAATGCACTTCAAATGTTTGTAAGAAGGCCCCTTTGGCTACTGATACAAAAATTCATTAAATAGTGAATCAGACGCCTATCCAGACCTGCCCCAAAGGGTTTAGTAATCGCACCCTTGATCAACTAGAGTTTGATTATGATTTTTGCACCTAGCTAGCTCCCTCTCATCAATGCGCTGACTACAACTATCTCGACAAAGTCGATCTCTCTCTATAGCTGGATAGTATGATGTAGAGCATCATAACTATAGTATAACTTATGGAGTAGTATACCTTTTTGTTAACTTTTTTTCCTTCTAGAATATTCTACTTGCCATGATATGTACAAACAATGTTGTAAGGAGCATATTGAAGAATATATGATATTGTTTGAGTTTACTATTTGTTCTCTAATTTTGTTTGCACCTCCATTCTTCCAACTATCCACTATATCACAGCTCACCCTAGTTAAAAGGCTGAAAAGATTTCAAAAAGATAGATTTAGTAAAAATGAATAAATTGGTGTTGCTGCAAATTCACAAACTTGCATCTAGTATCATTACAAATAGAAAATTCAAAATACAATCTTCTTTAATTTATATAATAAGTAAATTTACTTATCTAAAAAATAAATGAAATGTAAAAAATAATAGTGTTGCCATACCAAGCCGCGCGTTTAACCAGTGCTATTGCTATAGTATTTTTCTTTGCGCTGGCTGAAAGTCACTTGTTAAAAAGGGTGAATTTGCCTTTTTTTTTATATTTAATCATAATTATTTTAAAAATTTGCCCCGGAAAGAAGTGTAAATTAATAGATGATTCATTTTAACACGGAACATTTTCTCCAATACTGCCAAAATTGACAGCTAAAACTGCCAAAATGCAGAAGCAAAATTCCAATTAAATAGAACTCAAGATATTCAACCACGGTGGCTTTAGGCGTGGACAAAATTTTTAATTAGTTCAGCTTTAAAAAATTGAATTAATATTTGGTGTGGTTTTAATATTTTGTTCATAACTTTAATGTCAATAATATTATATAAATAGTAATTAATAAAAATAATGTTAAAATAAAATATTTAATTTATTAGTATTCAGTTCGGACAAATTGTCAGAAAATTTAATGCAATGTGGTGTTTTTCACTCCTGACTTCAAAAGAGTTTTCTTGTAAATCCAATATGTTCTAATTATATAAATCATCTTAGCTTCTTAGTGGTGAGCCAACAGGTCTTCAGTTCAATATCACATATGCATATAAGAATACACGCACATATGTATTTATTATTAAATGTGCTTAAAACAAAAAGAACGTGCTATCTACACAAATAGTAAAAGATGCAGCAGAACATGAAAAGCGCATCAATTATGTCCAACTACAGCATCATAACTGTAAAAGTTTTGAGACAATACGATGATTAAAAATAAAAGGGCTTACAAAGATCTAAAAAAATTAAACTTCATAAACTGAATCTTCATTCCAGACCCATTCAATATAAAGATTGTACGCGGCAATCTCTTGAAGATTTAAACATCTTCATCCTTAAATGATAAATAGAATTTGATAACTGAAGAATTATACAACTTCGAGCTGAGATAATAATTACATCGATTGCACGCGATTCCCTGCAAGTTCCATCGCTTGATTGATCAATTTACTCAAATTCTCATATGAAGACCCACCTTCCTCCATTGCCTTTCTGGCCGTCTCCCCAAGTTCCCCTGCTCTCTTTCTGATCTCCTCCCCTTCCTTCCCTCCGCACATAACAGTCCGCACTGACATCTCCACCTTCTCCCTTCCCAGAAACGCCTCCTCGTCTACCTGCGTCTGATAAAAAGCCGGCAACTTCACCCCAACCCCAACCCCCGTCCTCAGCACCTCTACCACCAATTTCTCGTTCAAAAACTGATCGGAGAAGTGCGGCCACGTAATCATCGGCACACCAGCTGCCACCGCCTCAAGTGTCGAATTCCAACCACAGTGCGTCATAAACCCTCCCACTGCCGGGTGTGTTACTATCAGCACCTGCGGCACCCATCCCTTTATAATAATCCCTTTCTTCCTATTCCTCTCCTCAAACTCCGCAACCCACTTCTTCACCTCCTCGTTCTCCTCCGCCTCCTTCATGGCCCATATAAAGTCCCGGCCCGACGCCTCCAGCCCGAACCCAATCTCCACCAGCTGCTTCATCCGGGTGCGCGCGATGCTGCCGAAGCTGATAAAAAGGACCGACCCGTTTTCCCTTCCTTCCAGCCACTGCAAAACTCTGCCGTGGTCTACCCCAGCGCTGCCGTCGCCCCTCACGGCCTTCCCGCTCGCGTCCTTATGGAAAAGCGATACCGGCCCGACAACCCAAACATCTTTGCCAACCGATCGGCGATACTCGTCGATGTACCACGGCTCAAGCTCGTAAAAGGTGTTGAGAACAAGCCCGTCTGCCGCGTCCTCCGCTTCTTGCACGTGTCTCATAACATCCTTCATCTCAGGCCAGTCGAAGAACCTCTGTGCCGTCAGCTTGCTCACTTCAATTCTTTGTGGCAGCTCCGGCACCGTAAAGATTTCCTCAACATCTGTTACTTTTTCATAGAGCTGGTGTTCGGCGAGCTTGAGAGTACAAAGGAGGAAGAAGCAGGAAGGGCCATGAAAGACTAGGCGGGGTATGCTGAGATCGTTGGAGACATCCATCGTCCACGGCATGCACTGGTCAGAGATGATGCAAGTAGGCGACGGTGGTTGGGTGCGGAGGTAGCTCTTCAGCGGTTCAGCCATGAGGTGGAGGGATTTGAAGAAGGGGGGGAAAAGGTTCGCACTTGGGATAAGGTCGATGTTCTCGCAACCTTCAGGGAGACCGGCGGCTTTGCAGGGAAAGGGAATTTCGACGAGTACGAGTGAAAGTCCGGACGCGGTGGCGTGATCGGCGGCACCGCGAAGACGTCGTGCGTTTAAGGGTGTGGTGATAAGACTCACACGTGCGCCGCGGCGGGCTAGAAGAAGGGCGAGGTCAGCCATAGGGATCATGTGCCCTTGCGCCATCAAAGGAACCACTACGAAATGGGTGTTCGGCTGCCCCGGGTTTTTGATAAGGCCGTTCATGGTTATGAAGGAAGGATATCACTTGTTATTAGCTAATCTGGTTCAACAAAAGCTTGGCTTGCTTCGTTTCGTTCGTCCATCGTTATTTATAGGGAAGATAAGAATTATTACATTTCCAACAAATATTTGTGGACATTACGGGTAGAGAAGTATAAGATGTCGCATCTAATATTTCTAAACTGATCTCTCTCCTTTTCTGTAGACTTCAACCGGCCAGAGAAATTTTATCACGAAATTTATCTATAAAAAATTAAAATTATAAATATAAGATGTATCCAAATATCTGAATTTTTATATTTTGAGTGGAGTAGTTATTAAGTTTTCCTAATGATTAAATATTAGATGTGCCATCGAAAAGTAGGAATAATTTTGTTGTCGGTTAATATTTTTGTTAAATAATTTTTTCTAAGAATTGGATGGGTGACACCAAGTGGCGAAATTAGCATATTTTTTTGGTAGACAAATTTCAAATATTTTAATAATTATAATAATAATAATTTAAGTAATTATAACATTAATAAACTTATAACAATAATAAGTACCACAAGAATCATAACAACAACAATAATAATAACAATAATATTACAAAAATAATATATATATATTTTTAAATAAGTACTAATATAATACCATCAAATTTATAAGAAAAAAAATTATTGAGTACTTTTAAAATTAAATTACATCTTTTTTTATCTAATAAAAATATATCTATCAATACTGTTTGATATATCTATCACAGGGTAATGGAACAGATTAAAGGCTATTTATATCGATACAAATATTACCTCAACCAGAATTTAAAATCTTAGACATGACTTTTAGTTAAAGCGGTATACAAGTAAATAAGATAGGCCAAAATCGAACTATAATGCACAGAATTTACTGATTAGCAAACAAAATAAAGCATAGTCGATAACAACACTCGGAGAAGTAAATGATATACCAAATTAATTATCAGCAACATAACGATTAAAGCACCTCTAGAATATTCATCAATCGCATCTGTAGCAGCAGCAACCAACAAGATTAAACAATTCCAGAAAAAAATTACAGCAAACTAGAAAAGAAGTAACGAACTGTAGAAGCCGAATGTTGTTAGTATTGTAAGCAAAGAGCGCCAAATCTGTTAGACCTCATGATCTTGATAAGCTTATTGAGGTTTTGAAGAATACAAAATATTAGTTGTGTTAATTTTTGGCTGATTAATTTGTATGTGTGTAGGCCTTCTTGTTACATGATATAAGACTTGAATGAAAATCACCTATTGATGGAAGTCCACTCAGCCTAAGGCTTAGTTTGGGACGACTTTTTTATTGCTTCATAAAGAATCTTTCAAGGACAAAAATTTTATTAAAATGCTGCTTTGAGAAGTAGCAAAAAATCATCCCAAACAAAGCCTAAGTTAAAGGAGGAGACAAACATGATTCATTCATGTAGCATTTGAAGTCATCAAATTGTGAAAGAAGACTAACAAATAATAAATTACTTGGAACTTTTCTTTTTTCTCAAGTCATTTCATATGTATAAGGTATATGATTTATGTTACAATCGTGTACCCACAGAGAGCTAAATTAAGATAGTAAAGTAAATTTTTTAAAAGATAATTATTTTGACAACTTGATCAAGATAAATCTCTTATATGATCTTTATTAAACAAAATGATATACATGGCATTTTTTTATTATTCTGAAAGACCAAATCATAACAATTAATAATAAAGTCAAAATTAAAATGGTAGAACTAATCACAAAATACAATACCAATCAGAATGTATGATTAGTTATAATCAGATTAAATAATCATCATATGTCCTATGCTTATATGAGTTAATTAAATATTAAACTAATTATATTATACACTACATATTTTATTGTATGATTATGCATTTGATAAGTGTAACTAATATTATATTTTGTGTTAATTTGTCAGTGAAAACATGTTATTTTAATTCTATGTGCGCATGAAAATACAGGAAAGGAGCAAAAATTTTAAAAGTATGGTACAGCGATTTGGCGTCGGACACAATACCGTCTAGGTGCCATCATTAATACTACTAGAGTGCCCAAATATGGACATGGCGATGCCCAAACTCTTTTTTATAGCGTCGGAGGTGTCAATACCGTAAAGCACATCGATCCAACTATCCCAGCGTCGTAGTGTCGGAGGAGTCAGCACCGCAAAGCCCAGTCTCTGTCGGCACAACACCATGCATGGTGCCAAATTCCAACGCTGCTAAGTCAAGGAAGTGCCATGTGGATGTCATAGTGCTCAGACCATTAGCAACGTCGCGGCGTTACAGTTGTAACTATTCATACAATGATCTGCCAGCAAATTAAGTGACGCATCGATTTATTGAACAGCGGGTCCATATCATCATGTGACGTAGTGGAGGAAATCTTCAGTGCTATAATGTTAGTTCATCTTTTGAGCACCGTAGCGCAATCATCTAAAGCACCGCAGCACCAAAATCTATTTTTTATATTTTTATAAATAGTATGTCTATAATGTTAGTAGAGGAGTTCAATCACTTATTTAATTACATTATTTATAGGGTTTATCTGATTTTTTCTTAGGAGTGACAACTAAGGAAATTCAGAGAAATACAAGATACATTCAATTAGAGTGTTTGGCTTATGTTTGTAGAAGTAATTCTGAAAGTTTAATGAGGAGTGTTGAAGAGATTATTGATCCATCCGGTGATATCTTTTCTTTTGTATTTTCTTTCTTTTGTGCAAATTAATGAAAATGATTATGTTTCACTTGTTCTTCATATCTGACTAAATTCTCTAATTTAGATTGATGATGTAAATGAAATATGGAGTACTAACGAGTTCTCTTCATAAATAATTTCATGATATTTTCAAAGTACCAGTTTTTTGTTTGATGCACATAGTGGCAATATATGTAGTCAATATCATGTGTAATGTGGAGACTGAGAAAAGAAATGTAATCACAATGAGGTATGTTGAATTGGTATGAAGAAAGCATACGCATAGCATTTGTCAAGTATCAAATTTATATAGATGAATTAATATAAGTGGGGTTTAATAGTAGACGATTTACTTACACTTCTAAGACTTTTATAGGGTGGCAGGCTATGAGTGTTTAGAGTGGTATTTAGGTTGGAAGAGTTTAATCTATCCTTTGTCTCTTCATGCTTGATTGAGTGATTAATGATGCATATGCTCTGAATAGCATCAATATAAAAGAGATTTTTTACGAAACATATTGTATTTACATTCTATCAATCCAAAATCATTTGCCCCAATAGTGTTTTATTTAATTAATTTTTATTTTAAAATAAGAGATTGAATCTCCATGAAAATTTATTTTTATTAAGTAAAAAATTATTGTAGTTGAAGTTGGCAGTACTAGTATTTACAAGTAAACATTCTTCCTTGTGGAATCGATATCTACTCTATCACTATATTACTTGATTTGGCACTTATACTAGCATATATTAAGTGGGTTTTTTAGTTTAGCATCAATGAAAATTTAAGTATTATTTATGGATTGATAAAGCCCTAATTCATTTTCACAATTCTTTAGGTTACTCTACAACCCCCATCAGGTTTTTGGCGCCATCGCCAGGGAAGAATTTATTTTATTTGCAAATTTATTATAATATTTAATTAATCACATAATTAGCCCAACTATACATTTTAATTCTTTTATTTTAATTTTTTTGATTGCATATATGTGGCTAGATGCTTACAAGATATAGAGGGAAAAGATGTTTAAATTTTTATTCTTAAATTGAGAGAATCCTTTCTAAAATCAGAACTACAAAAAAAAAAAATTTAAATGGTTGCTCCTTTTCAAAACTTTGATCATTCTAAACCTCTTAAGGATTTTGCAAACCCTATAGAAAACAAAATTCACCAAAAAATAAATAGACTTACCATCTAAGCAAAATAATTTTAAATTATTACTTGCAATCACTCAGATAATATAAAAATATCAAATTGAGGGAACTTCCATTGAAGATCGTAATCTACATTTAGCAAATTTCTTAAAAATTTATGCAACATTTAAGTATAATGGTGTTAGTGATGATTTGATTAGACTTAAATTGTTCTCATTTTTTAAAGAGATAAGGCAAAAATAATATTAAATTCTTTACCTCTAGGCTCTATTAGTACATAGAATGAGTTGGCCACAAATTTGTATGAAAATATTTCCCGCCTAAGACTGTTAAGTGTAGAAATGAAATTACATTTTATACTCAGTTAGAAGGAGAATCTATTTATGAGTGTTGGAAAAAATTCATGGAGATGCTTAGAAAGTGCGATCTCCATGCCTTACTTGATTGGTTGATAATTTAAACTTTTTACAATGGATCAGTAAGATCCTTCAGAATTGTAATTGATGCTACAGTTGGAGGTTCTTCGATGTCAAAGACTTTTTAACATGCTTATGAATTAATTAAAAATGGAAATAAATAATTTTCATTGGGCAAGTGATATGGTGAATTCTAAGAGAGTGACTGGAGTTTATGAAATATTTTTTTTTATCTATTTTGATTGAATAAGTTACATTAATATCAATGAAATTAAGCACTTTAGGTTTAAATCCATATTCATTTTTATATTTTAAAAATAAAAGTGAAATGGAAGAAAATGATATCCAAGGGATTCAAAATATAAATTTGATTTGAAAATTAAACAATCCCTTTTCAAATACATATAATCCAGATTAGAGGACATCAATGGCTATCATCTTTTCCAATGTCTCTTTGGCTCTCGCTCTCGGGGAGATTCTAGGGTTCTTCTTCGGGCATTTGGTTGGTAGCTTCTTTCTTGAATCTCTATGGTTTTTTTCTCTCATTTCTTCGATTGTTTTGCTCTAGTGTTTTGGGTGCTTGTTTTGCGTGGTCGAGTTCTCTGTGAGCTCTCAGGTTTCACTGTAGAATTTTCATTTTCCCTTGCATCTTTCTTCTGTTTTTCTGTGTTTCCTTTGATTTTAATTCTCAAGTCCTCTTTGGTCTTGCTTCCATTTTGGGTAGGCCTCTACAAACTGACCAGGCTACGGCCTCTATCTCTTAGCCATCTGTGGCTCGTGTTTTGGTTGAATTGGATATTTCTAAAAAAC